TGTTCTCATAAGGATAACTGAATATCTTCTACTATCCTGCTTATTATGTGTCTGTTGCCACAATCTGTACTATTTACAATATGTTTATCTTTGAATGTAGGTACTGACGTGGTTGGCCTCCTTATAATTTAGTAGTTGCCACATATTCTATGGTTCATACCGATATTTCTTTTTTTCCTCAACTAATCTGTATATGATTCTTCTTGCCTTTGCCTAGTAATGTTATTAGTTTATTCCTCTCCTGTGACTGATCATTGCTGTATCAATTCATCCACTGTGTGAGGTATTGTTGTGAATCTGAATTTTGCAACATCGGGTCATTGTTGCAGTGTTTTAATAACAGACTCTTATTTCTCTACTAGGCTCTGCCTCTTTCTGACAGGCAGATATTGATTTGTTCCTGTATCTTCAGGTAAGTAGTTCACAAGGCAAGAGGAAGCGGTGTGAATCGTATTTAATAAATACATCCAGTAAGTAGTAGGATTCTCAGTGTAATTCTCCCTGTGTTTAATAGCATGGTGTGTCCGTTCTCGTCCAACATTATCTGCTTGTTCCAGTATGATCTCTGGAAGTTATGCCTTTGTCGAGGTACTGATTTGATGATGTCATCAAATTTGGTTTTAAATTTTATATCAGAATGACATTATCCTTCTCTAGCTTATGCTATAATGGCCTAATTCCTATCTGACTCTATATCTATTCAGGATATTTCAGATATTGAATGGCAGGAAGTTGCTGACCTTGCAGCCTCTAGGGAAAATTAACTTGTCTGAGCAGATTTTATGACAATATAGATACGATGTTCTAAAAAAGAACAGGCTTCTATTCATTAAAGAACTGTGCTAGATCATGTTGAACTTGTCTCTTAGTCTGTCAGTGATGAAATTAGCTGACACTTACAAAACATGCAAAAATCTCCACCACAACCTCATGAGAATAATATGATGGCTGCATGCCTGAGGATCTCTCCAATATACCAGACAATATTTATCTTAAAGGAGAACTCACCTCAACATCATTCAGGGAAGTGCGCATGTGCGAAATATTCATTTGCATCATACTGCTTTTGCTTGTGCGTGGTAGAGATGATTTGTGCATGCACAATGAGTATTTCGGCCCAGAATTAGCAACATCATTAATGACATCAGGTGCCTTTTTTAAAGCGCCAAAATCAAGTTAAATTTACCTGATTCTTCATTTCAGGCCTAAAGGATCTCCTCAAGACAGTGGTTTTTTTTGTTTAGCTTCTTGTTTATTGTACTTAACGTTAGATTCTATCAGGTATGTGTTTGACTTCTTAAAGACATATTTTGAATTTTCTTTATTTTGAATTTTATACTTTTTTTTTTTTTTCCTTGCTCTATAGCTAATTATGGAGAAAGGAAAGTCCTTCTCAGATTCTTATTCCTCAACTCATAATATTAGGCCACATTCCAAGAGTCATAGGTAAGACAATATGTTTCTTATAAGTTCAGTTTTACGCTATATTACAAACAATGGAGTGCTGTCAACTAACATATTCCCTATCATGATAGTTCTTTGGGAAAGAAAGCATCAGGGTCATCAAAAGGAACAGATATAAAGCTTGTGACAAAAGACCTCTGTAAGGGAAACGTCTCTGCGCAGATTGCATATCGGCAGCAGCAGAAACCTCTTACCCGGCACCAGACTTAATGCAGTACATCAAAGCCTGGAAGAAGCTGGTAAAACAAGAAAAATAGCAAAGGTATCCTGACCCCCTGGAATATTCACAAGATGAATCCATTGATATTGTAACAGTCACTTGGGGACTTATGCAACAGTTTACCAGGAGTTGGAGCCCAGTTGCAGGAGATGGCACAGGGAGGAGGCAAAAACCAGAAGTGCAGTACAGATTAAGGGGAAATCCAAAGGCAGGGTCAGACGAGAAGCAGAAGTCAGAGCTGGCAGTGGAGTAACAAAGTTGGTAAAGCAGGCAGAGGTCAGAGTCCAGGAAATCAGTCAGTAGCGAAGAAAAGATCTGGCAGGAAATACCAAACAGGCAAAATGAACAGATCCTAGGTTTCAGACAGGGCTGGCTTTTACAGCCTGCTAATTAGGTGCAGCTGACCCTAATTGGAAAAGGGTTGCAGGTGGCTCAGTACTGCTCAATCCAGGCAAGGGGTCAGGAGGCAGAATAATGCAGACAGAAACTGCATTAACCCCTTAAGGACACATGACATGTGTGACATGTCATGATTCCCTTTTATTCCAGAAGTTTGGTCCTTAAAGGGTTAAAGGGTCGGCCACGCCTTGCTGTCTGCAGGGCTCGGGCTGTGCTGTGACAGATATGGATTCACACAGAGATACAAATTATTCTTCTGAGGAAGAAACTCACCCTGCTTCAGACTTCCTTGAATCAGGGGGAGAGATTGACATACATCACACACACACACACACACACAATGCACCCCTTGCACACAGAAAAACAAACAATGCATTACACACAGACACACATACACAAGCAATGCATCCCTTATACACAGCAACACACAATGCACCCCTTACACACACTCAATGCATCCCTTACAGACGCACACACTGCATCCCATACATACACAAACTCACCTTGCAGCCCTTACACATACAAACACAGATTCACACAATGCATTCCTTACACACATCAGGACATCCCCCCCCACACACACTCCACCCCCTGTGAACAAACTCATTGGTGGAACATGAAGGTGGATCCTGGGACCCAGACATTGAGCTGTGTAAAGAGCCCTCAAAAAAAATCCTTGCACCGGCCCTGCAGACACTGCATTCCTGTGGGCGGACTGGGGGGTGGGAAGGTTGTGGGGGCTGCAGCACTTTGGGCGGACTCGGGTGCAGGCACCGGGGGGCCCAGACCTTGAGCTGTGTCAGGGGCCCCACAACTTCTGATGGCAGCTCTGTTTAGCATAACATCATACCCAACGGCCAACACACTGTAAAGTACAGAGTGAGTGTGGGACAGGCTGCTGCTGGAAATCTGTGCTGTGTGTGAGTGTCAGATAATGTATAGTTTGTGTGTATGGGTCAGTGTGATTGTGTATGGTTTAGTGTGAAGTGTTTTTGTATGGGTCAGTGTGTTTGTGTATGTCCACTTGTCCACTTTAGTCCTTTGGACAAGTAGATAAAAAAAAAAAATCCATACCCTTGTATGTATCTATAAAGCAGCTTGTGTGCATGTGTGGGTGAGGCAGTGTTGTATGTATTTGCCAGTGTGTGAGTGTATGTATTAGGTAGTGTGTGTGTGAGTATGAGGCAGTTTGTATGTGTGGTGTATGTATGTATTCGGCAGTGTGTGTGCATGTATGTATATGGCACTTTGCGTGTGTGTATGTTTATATGTATAAGGCAGTTTGCTAAGAGAGAGAGGAAAACTCCACACACAAACAGTATTTCAGCTTGCTGAAGTGCTTTATATGTCTGGAGTTTGTAATATTCTTGACAGTTTATAAAAATGCTGATTTCAAAAGAAATCACACCTTTTATAATTGTGGCAAAAACACATCCCTGACTGTCACTCAGCTAGGAAGATTTTCTTTCACTTCATTTAGTTCCACAGAGATAACAGAAGAAGCAGACGTACAGTACTAGCATGCACCTGCCTTGTCCCTTTCTCAAGGAGTTAAACTAGAGCTCATTGGGAAGCATAGCAAATCTGTGACGGAGTGTGTGCGCGCACAATTACGGATCCAGAAAAAGGCTTCACAATGAGAAGCCTCAGATTGGAGGGCTTGAAAAAAACAGCATACTTTCTTTGTGGGTATATCTACTAAATTGTTAAAAGTAATCAATGGAATGTTTTCTTTTGGCGTTTAGTGAATAAACTTGTGACACAATGGAACCATCTCAAGAGGGGGCGACAAATGGAACTTTGCCTATGACGGCAGAATTCTGTGCACCGGTCCTGTCTGCAATGCTAGACATGCTGCTGTGCTCTATTCTGCTATACTGTGCAATATATTACATACTGCAATACTCTATACTACTTTACTCTGCACTATACTGCATACTGCGATATTCTAAGCTACTATACACTGCTACGCACTACATAGTGCAATACTCTACACTTTTGTACTCTACAATACATGGCATTCTGCGATACTTTATGCCATTGTACTATGCGGCGTACTGCAGTGCTCTATTTTGCTATACTCTGCTACTTATTATGATACTCTAAACCAGCACTTCCCAATTGGTGTTATGCGGAACCCTGGGGTTCAGAAAAAACACAAATGGGGTACTGCCAAAATTTTGTGAAACAAAATGGCAGTGGGCGGCGAGGGACTCCCGCATGCAAGCCCCTCAGCAGCCCCACTGGACCTCAGGGACTTAATGCCAGCCGCTCAGCAGCCCCACTGGACCTCAGGAACTGCAAGCCCAGCTGCTCAAAAGCCCCACTGGACCCCAGGGACCACACGCCTCGCCCAGCAGCCCCACTGGACCACAGGGATAAAGAGACTCCATGCCAGCATTCCCAAAGGTAGGGAGACTGCTTGGTGTAAAATAAAAAAGAATAAAAAAAAGAATAAATTGTATGTGTGTCTGTTAGGGAGTTTGTATGTGTTTGTGTGTCTATCAAAGAGTGTATGTATTTGTCAGTGAAAATGTATGTGTGCTTGTCAGTGAGAGTGTATATGTGTTTGTGTCTGTGACTGTCAAAGAGTATGTGTGTTTGTCAGTGAGAGTGTATGTGTCTGAGTGTGTGTCAGTGTGTGTATCTTTATGTCAAGGTTTGTGTATGTTTCATTGTGTGTATCTGAATGTGTGTATTGGTGTGTGTGTGTGTGTGCCAATGTATATCAGTGTGTTTGTATGTGCCTATTTGTGTGTGTGTGTATATCATTGTGTGAGTCAGTGTGCATATATGACACTCCGTGTATGTGTCAATGTGTGTATCTGAGTGTATGTATGTGCCAGTGTGTGTATCTGTGGGTGCAAGTGTGTGTATATGTCTATGTGTATCTGAGTGTGTGTGTAGTTGTGGTTTAAGATGTGTGTATGTGTCACTGTGTGTATCTGTGTGTCACTGTGTATCTGTGTGCTACTATGTGCCAGTGTGTGTATCTGTGTGTCAGATAAATACTAAGACACACAGATACACACTGACACACAGATACACACACTTGCACATACAAACACAGATACACACACCTTGACATACATAGGCACATACAAACACAGATACACACACATTGACACACAGATACATACACACACAAATACACAGTGTGTGTTAATGTGTGTGTGCCACTATGTGCCAGTGTGTGTATCTGTGTGCCACTATGTGCCAGTGTGTGTATCTGTGGGTGCAAGTGTGTGTATATGTCACTGTGTGTTTCTGAGTGTGTGTGTATTTGTGAGTCAAGATGTGTGTATCTGTGTGCCAAGGTGTGTGTGTGTGTGTCACTGTGTATTTGTGTGCTACTATGTGTCTGTGTGTATCTGTGTGTCAGATAAATACTAACACACACACACATAAACACACAGGGGGCAGGGGGGGAGGGGGTTCCACTATGTTGATACACTATGTCAAAGGGTTCCACAGGAAAATTGAATTGGGAACCCCAGCTCTAAACTACTATACTCTGCAACACTAAGTATACTTTAATTCTTTATACTACTATACTCTCCAAAATGCTACATACACCCACTAACTCCGACACCCTGAGATACTCTGCATGCGGCCATAATCTATACTGTACACATGCACACACTGTTTACCTATACTCAAGCTATCATGTCCTCATTGTTATGTTTATACTATGTCTTTCTGCCACAATGTTTACTTGTTCCAGACTTGGGGCTGGTTATCCACAACGCGGCAATCTTGTGATCTGGCACCCTTTTTTTCTTGTCACATACCTCAGAGCTTATTTTCCGTTATTCTAGCCAATTCCTTTATGGCCTGTCTTACGTATCTATATAAGTCTCGAATATGTCTGTACGTATTTATGCTTTAAATTGTCCTTGGATTGTCAGGGGCTGTTTTAGTAGATATGTCCAAACAAAAAAATGTGTACACGTGTATATGCACTGGTTATTTATATTCAAGATGTCGTCTCTGTTATGTTTTACTATCACAACTCCACGAACTTGTGGTTACGTTCCCTCGTTTCCTAAAATATACCTTCTCAACTATTCTGGCCACCTACTTTATGGCCTATTTTACATATTTGTACGCGTCTAGGGTATATATGTATGTCAAATTTCACTGTGCATGCTTCATATTGGCCTTAGATGATATGGGGCTGTTATAGCATTTACAGTCAACTGAATCTTTTCTTCTTCTTTGATTTTCTTTAACCCCTTAAAGGACCACTATAGTGCCAGGAAAACATACTCGTTTTCCTGGCACTATAGTGCCCTGAGGGTGCCCCCACCCTCAGGGTCCCCCTCCCGCCCGGCTCTGGAAGGGGGAAAGGGGTAAAAACTTACCTTTTTCCAGCGCTGGGCGGGGAGCTCTCTGCCTTCGATCCTCCTCCGTTCCTCCCCGTCAGCTGAATGCGCACGCCCGGCAAGAGCTGTGTGCGCATTCAGCCGGTCGCATAGGAAAGCATTATCAATGCTTTCCTATGGACGCTTGCGTGCTCTCACTGTGATTTTCACAGTGAGAATCACGCAAGCACCTCTAGCGGCTGTTAATGAGACAGCCACTAGAGGATTTGGGGGAAGGCTTAACCCATTCATAAACATAGCAGTTTCCCTGAAACTGCTATGTTTATAAAAGAATGGGTTAAGCCTAGCTGGACCTGGCACCCAGACCACTTTATTAAGCTGAAGTGGTCCGGGTGCCTAGAGTGGTCCTTTAAGGTCCAAACTTCTGGAATAAAAGGGAATCATGACATGTCACACATGTCATGTGTCCTTAAGGAGTTAAATGTTTGGTAGAGATATAATTAGAATATTTTGTGTTCTGCGATCATTTTTCTTACTTTATATGCTTTACTGACATACTCTTTTTGGCACTCCACTTCTATTTGCTTATACTTACTATCAGCTTCTTGTAATCTTTCTTTAATTTATTCTGCCAAATACATAAAGTTAGTCATTTTCATCATTACGCATTTGTTTTTCAAGTCACCACGCTAGTGACTCGCTTTACAGTATTACCTTCCTCTTTACAACAACCACTTGCTCATTAGTTTGGTCTGGCTGTTCCTTAGGTGGCCATAGGCAAATTAGCGGCTTCTAGTTCCATTACATAGCTGTCCCGCTAAGCCAACTCCTATCCTCAACTATGGAAATAATTTGCCCTTCTGGCAAAATCATAGTTAGAGACTCGCATCTTCATGCTCTTGGCAAAGCAGTTAGGGCATCATCTGTCACAGCCAACTTTTTTTGAATCTCTTTAAAAGACACTGAGAGGCCAACACCCCGCCACAACGCTCGGTGGCAACCCTACCCAATGGGCCAAATCAAAGGTAGAGCCTCTCATCGTCACTTTGCAATTTGGTTCCCAAGTCACCAATTTAGCTTAATTTGTTTCACCACGTGGCCTACCATAGGTCAGCCAGTACCTGAAATGTTATACAGTTGCTCCCACTAACATATTCTTTCTCTTTCAGGTATAGTTATAAATGATGCTGTAATACTAGGAATGGCAGAGGGAAGGAGTCAAAGAATAAGGGTTTTTAGAGGTATATAAGCTTTCTAATAATCAGTTTCAGGTCCAAATTTGGAACATATACCAAGACATGAGCCTTAGGAGTCATTATCTCCTTACAGTAACTACAACGGAGCACCGCTCACAACCAACAGTTGATTTACTTTTGGCTAGCATAGCCCCATATCTTCTACATTTAGCTCAGGGTTATGGTATAATTTTACTAATTTATCATTATTGACATGTTCAATTGCTCAATGATTTCTTACTAACAACCTGGAGGTATTGGTGACATGTACAGTTACAGTATTAAGTTAGGTACAATTATGCTTACGCTGTAAAGGGCTTTTCTTATTATGTAGTTACCAGTTTAGGTAGTTTTAATATTTATGCATTCTTTTTCGGGCCTACTCCGTTCATCGGTTTTGGCACACTACAACCGATTTGCTACTACTGGAATAACTCAATCCTTATTGTATGCCTCAGCAGTTGATCCCATACACAAATATAAGGCAGAATGCCTGAAATTGTTGGAGGGGTTACCAGCCTATATCTAATCCCTCCTTCCAGCCTCCTCCCCCTGACATTCTGCCTATGTTATTGCAAACCCACCCACCTCTCTCTTTTTAATCTCTTTCAATAGGTGGGCCCTCTTTTTTAGGCCTACCCGGTTCGTCGGTTTCAACAGACCACAACCGACTTGCTATTACTGGTATAACTCAATCCTTATTGAATGCCTCGGCAGTTAATCCCGTACACAAATATATAAATATAAAAATAGAGAAAAACTAATTTCTACCTTTTAATATTCAACTTATACTAAGAAAACCATATGTGGCCATAGAATGTATAGACAAAAAATTTTGGGGGGCAGCCACTAGAGGTGGAGTTAACCCATCAAGCTAATTATTGCAGTTTCTTACAAAACTACAGTAATTAGCTATGCAGGGTTAAGGACAGTGAAACCAGACCACTTCAATGAGCTCTTTAAATTGCCCCAACTAAAACATAATTGCAGCAATTGACCAAGTTTGAATTGTCTTGGTTAGGGAAAACGACCTTGAAGACGCCACTGCTACATAAGCAAATTTTATTCAATCTTTGTTCCAAATCCTTTGAAGCTAATATGCAGAATGACATAATTGTAAAGGGCTCATAATAGCTACTTTTCAGTATATTAGATGTCTCAGAAGCCTATGGATTCCCAAATCTCAATATCAAATCCTATTATGTACCATCAAACACTACACAACAGAAAAGATTTGCATGACTGATGGCACACTAGGCTGGGTTGATATAGAGAAAATTACCTGTAATTACACTTTATGGCTTTTAAGACAGCCTTGCTCTTCATTAATTATCTCCACAAACTCTTTACATCCCAGAGACTACTAGAGACTGATGACATTAAAGGGACACTACAGTCACTAGAACAACTAGCCACAGAAGTCATACGGTGGCCATTTGCTTACAAATAGCTTTGCATGGGATTTTCCATAGAATAATTTAAACATTTGTAGTACAAGTATTCCCTGATTCAAGAAAATATGTTTAATATAGATTAATACAATAATAATTCAAGAAGACACACAGGATGCAGATGGATCCTGTGCAACTGTTCGAGGAAACTAAAAAGAAAAAAAGTGAATAATAGTGGAATAGCGCTTGGATTAGAGACCTTTCAAAAATATGGCATTTACTGACATTAAATTTCCATGATTTCATGGGAGCATCTAAGCATCAAAATCCAATATACAATCCAGAAACAAAAAATACAAATATAGAATTTTCTGTTTTAACACTCCCAACGTGTATTAAACCTAAAGATCTTACACCGGTACTGACATGTAGCCAAGTTTATGTAGAATTTTATAGTAAACTGCCAATTTAACAAGCTAAATTAAATGTATGAACTCTGTCGTGGAAAGTATTCCAATAAGCATTAGTGGAGCTGTCCAAACTAGTCCTACTGTTTCTGGATTTTTCTAATACACATTTAATTATTTTATTGACTCTATCAGTAATCAAAACCATAATAAACTACTGGGAATGTTATCAATGAGAATGGTCCAGACAAGTATATCAGAAACATCTGCAGTACATATGTAGACTCTTACACTTCCAAGTGCTGACTTATGTAAGGACTATAGTAATATAGTAAAACCTAAAAAATAAATCATATACAGTTTGAGTCAAATTTCATAAACCTATGTTTTCAAATTACAACTCACAGTTTAGCTAATAAACCCAATTTGGCCTTTGGTAAATTACCCCCCACCTCCAAACACACACACACACACACACACACACAATATTACCACATTGCAAAACTTAAATTTTTGTGTTAAAAACAAAAGTTATATTATGTCATAAATATATAGATGTACAATGTAACACCTTGAGTATATGATAGAATGAACCAAACATTTTCACTCTGTGAAGTTTGCTGTGCAAACAAAACCAATCCCAGTATTTTATGATTTGCTTTTTATATCATATCATTTAATTAACCAAGTCTTCATAAGCAAAGTTCTAACC